ATATGTAAAAAAATTTATATGTTATTTCACAAAAAGTCTGATTTTGTGTCAAAATACCTATGTTAGAATAGTGCTATATATAAATCTAATATATATCCTAAGTCGCGCTTCCGAGACATTTGAATTTTGTCAATCGGCCCAGTAGAACGATAGATATAGCACTGTCCCCCCCTTTTTTTTTGAGCAGTGTACATTCATATAAAAGTGAAACGAAAAAAACTATATATATATATGTACAGGGTATGCTTTAAATTCGTATTATATAATTTTGAAAATTGTTTGCGAGGAAAATTTAAATAAATAAGAGCATAAATAAAGCATTATATTTAATGCATATAATAATAGAAATAAATTATAAAGCATGAATATAGATCAAATTGGAACAAGAAGCTAAGAAATTGGCAGAAAGGGTAGAAAAGCATATGGTATTTGAACTCACGGTTAAACCTTAAATTAACCCAAAAGTTAAACCTTGTTGCCATCAGCTTTATCACTAAGCTATCATGATACGGCAATGGTATGCATATTTTGGCTTATAGACATCATCACGTAAATCAATTCTTAAAACTAAATTTTTTGGTCCTATTTCAGTGTGCTATCGTCTAAAAAATTCACCAGAGTTTGTTCTTCAGCTTCTAGTACATTTCTTACAAAAAACATTATCTTTTAAAGTAGTGTTTCGATTGAAGTTAAATGAGCTGCTAAAAATATATTCCATGAGCTTGCAAATTATATGCTAGCCAAAAAGGTGTATTTATAAATAGAGAAATATAAATTTAACATACTCTTTAATGCAGTAGAATATTTAAAAGGCTATCAGATTTAATTTATAATTAACGTTTCTAGTTTTTACCTGTTTCAAAAGAAAAAAATAAATCTTTTAATGCCATATCTGATCTGCTATAGCAGTTTGATATAGTCAGACATTCATTTTCATTAAAGGTAAATGCGTATGCAAAACCAGAAAATAATTGTCAGGACAAATCTTGTTATTTCGTGGACTTGAAATTATAATTTTTGCCGCTGAATTTCTTGAACGCCTGATTTTATCTGCAAACAAGTACTGCAGTTGCAGTTATCTTATTTTACTTATCTTTTTTTAACTAAATTCAGCTGATTGCTGTCTTTTTCAGCACACAGATTTTTTGCTATAATGTTAATTCAGAAATAAGTATTTTTTCGCAAAACATTCTTTCCCTAAGCGAGCGTTCATCACTACTTCTGCCGCCATTAATTTTTTGGTGACAGCACCTGATTGCTCCTTTTTTACCCCGTGACCCCAATGCATCCGCAGACATACGGATAGAAGTTGAACATTGTTGAACTCCATCCGTCACTGCACATCGAACGGATTGCAAATGTTAATCAAAGTGAATTCATTCCCTGATTGGAGAAACGCATACGTACCACATACGCAGAAGTGGAAACAGGCCTTTATACGTAAACATATTGAATCACATTGCCACTCATTCCTCTATTTTGCTAATCCTCACAAAGAATTCTTGTTTATGTTTGGATGCTAGTTTCAGGCTCAAAGTTAACATTGAAATAATAATAATAATAATAATAAAGCCATCTTCCCCCTTCCTTAGCCACTCCCCAAAAAAAGGAGCGAGAATGAACACTAATCACCAAAAAGAAAAAAAAAATCTCCTTTTATAGAAGAATCTGCAACAGCAAGGATTGCCAAATGCTTGCAAGAATCAGAGTCATGGGAGGTTTTTGTAGTGTTGTATTGGCAATTATCATATAACAACAAGTATAAAATGTTACTTGAGATGATTTGGAAAGCTCAGTTTTATAACCATAGAGCATGTCTTGTCTATGTGAAACAAATATGGTGACACAATACTTTACAAAATAACTGTTGACATAATTCCATTGTCCTAAATTGAAAACATTTCTTACAAGCAACCATTTCCATGCTAAATCATTAGCATCTAGGGATATTTTATCTACATAAACGAGTCATTAAATGTATGTTAAGCTTTCTGCATTAAATATCAATTACAAATTTAATGCTATTTGAAGGTTTAAGAATTTAATTCTTAAACAAAAATAAACTACACAAAATACCATCATTTAAGAAATAGTATTTGACATTATCATATCCTAATAATTACAGGATAATTATTACTATTAAGCAAAAATAATCAAACCAGGAGTTTCTTGAGGGAGGGGTTTATGATAGGCTTAAATACAAAAGCTGTCATAATCGTAAGCTGTAAGAGTCAAGAGTAGTTTCTGCCTGTAGTGGCACAGACATTTTGCTTTGATGGTGCAATTTCTTCAGGTCTAAATTCTGCTGTCTGGTGCCTGCCTAGATTCTAAACATTTTTTCGTTCCTAAATTCTAAAAATTTTGCTGCTTGTTGCTTCTCTAAATTCTAAAAATGTTGCCACCCAGTGCAACTGCACTGGCTCTGGTGCCAACCCTGGCTTCTTCACACTTTAAATTATTCAAGATATAGTAAATTACACAAAAATAACTTAAACCATATCTGATTTTTAAATTTTTAAATTTCCAAATTCAGTGAATTTTTATGGCCTGATGAATAAATCATTCCCAAAATCCATATTTATTTTTACTTTTAGTGATAATCATAATAGGAAAATGCATTCTGTCACAATATAATGATAGTTCCAAATGTTTAACAAAATAAATTATGACATACGTTTTCAAGTTTTTCTATTAAATGAAGCACTTTTGTGAAATGTGATACAGATGACTAAATCACACTGCTTCACAGAATTCAATACGTTGAATGATATCATATACTGACTGTGACATTACAAAATGTTGTCACATATTTCACTATGCTTGAGGGGTTTTCCTCTTTCTTATAAAGTTTTGGTTTAAAGATGAAAGTTTGGAACTTCAAAACTAAATCTCTTATACCCCCATTCAATGACTGAACAGGGGTCTCATTGCCAAACAACAAAGTTTATCTTTTGCCTTAACATTTCTCTTTTATTAAGAGAAGATATATAGCAAGCAAATAAATCAATGGAAAACTATGTCTTTCTCTAAAAGAGTCTTACTTCATTTGGATTCTAATCTTCAGATCTGTTTACCTGGACAAGGATTCAAAAACTAAAGTGGCAAAGTCTGTACCTATTTGGGGGCAATTTCTACTAAAATGATAACAGTATCCTGTGATTAATAGTTAGTATAGATCGTCTCATCAAGTGTACACTTCACAAATATTAACAGACTAGTATTAAAAAGCACAAAAATAAAAATACAGTAAATAAGTAATAAGCCAAACCGTTTCAATAAGCTGAGCTGCATCTTGCAGCTTTCTTTCTCGATACTGAATGGCTGTGCTTGCTTTATAATATGTATTTTTCCACTCCTAGTCAATAAAACAAAATTCCACAATTTACAGTTAGAAAGTATATTTAATACTATCTGCATTTTATGACAATTCTATACAGGCAAAAACAATAGCAAACTTACCTCGTAACTTTCTGGAGAAATCTCTGCTACTGCTAAACATAAAGTTCTAAGACCTAAATGAGAAAAATTAATTTTGAAATGTTATTAGTATCTAATATTATTTATTTATGTAAATTAATTTCTCAGCTTTATCCCAAACAGAGTATTAACACTTTAATAAAATGGCATGTTGATTGGTATCTAATTAAAACTTGCTTTACCTAAGAGAGCACCAATGGTGAACCATCTAGATTCTCCTTTGATAGAGGAGAAATTACATAAAATAATTATAGTAAAAGTCCAATTAATCAAGCACCCAACAGCTTGGTATACCTGATGATCTGGTATATGTATATCTGATAGGAGTAATACAGTACAAAAGTCCGAAATCCGGATATGCATTATCCGGAATGATCTAAAATCTGGACCTCAAAACCGCCAACAATGTTTTTCTCGTAGGCTTTACGCATGCGCATTTCATTGCTCTCTCCATGCATAATAAAACATCTGGAGGTTCCTGCTTCTTAATTTCACTTCAACACTAAATAAAATACCTTGTTATTGAAGAAACAATCATTTTAGCATAAATTTGTCTGATCAGTAATTTGGCTCCATTGCTGCATATCTGCTTGGCTCACATCTCAAATGGAAACATTCCATCTGATAGATACATTGTTGATCTGACCCCAACCTGGCGAATTATTATTTATTATACTTTCCTTTCATCACCGCATGTTTATCAAAACATGACAACTTGAGTAATGACTCATGTAGCAATGCCTAAACATTTTTGTTATGTTAGTAACTGAATAATAAAAGACTGGTAACCTTTTATGTTGACATTACTCTTGGCGATGATTACAGATTTAAGTTAAATGCACTAAAAATGTTGACGAGTAAAAATTTACCAAAAATTTCTCTCCATATGCTAAAAATAGATTTTGCTGATGATACTCATAAACCCATGGATTACATTTAGGGCTATTTGAATTAAGAATAACTAATTTGTTATTCACATAAACTGAGAACCAGCGCCAGGACTTGTATGGCCACGCCACAGAATTTAGGACTCGCAGAGACCGCATCAGGCAATGAGATATCTAGCGCCGTCTCTCAATAAGGCTTAAGTATATGTGGGAATTTATTTATTCAGAACGCTGATAAGCCAGCATGTACAAGAAATATACATAAGTATAATAAATAACTAAACTAAGACAATTCAGGCTTAATTGTCTCAGTGTGAGATAGAAGCGAGATAAAATTTAATGGAAAAACTTGTCAAGGAAGTTTTTTATTGTGATGACAACGCTTCTCAATCATCAACCAATTAATGAATGGTGAAATCTGTAGTATGGTTCTAGATCCAGAAAATACCGCTACTGGTAGTGAAGAAAGTGACAGAGAAGTTATTGAAAATGAGAAAATTTTGATTGACAAGTTAGTCAGAATTCTTGAAACAGCTGTTACAGGACTTCAACAATGTAACTAAACAAGAGATTATGTCTGTCTACAGAATTGAAGAGAAAGTATTAGCAGAAAAAACGAAGCAACTTAAACAACTTACATTGAAAGAAATGTTTCATAAGGTAAACAAATAAGTATTAAGTTTTTTTTTTTTTTTTTTTTTTTTTTTTGTAAAATTTGATACATTTTAGATCATAAATACTTCATTATTCCATAAATCGCGATTTCATATTTTTAATTTTATAATTTCTACATGCCATCTTACTAGATTTAAATCTAATATCTGGAAAAATCACAAATCAGGAATCGCCAAAGTCCTGTTGAGTCCGGATTTCAGACTTTGTACTGTATCTGATGAGCTTATGAATATGTCTTTCTAAAATTAATCGGAATTGTTCAGCATTTACTCTGGAGATAGCCTCCTTATCACTGAATGTAATGAGGAAAATTTTATTGAAGAAAACTAAAATGTTACGAGCCTTGCTTAACCACTCTAAACTGGATCCAAAGCGTTTCTTTGAATAATTCTCAAGTCACTTTTTCGAAGAAATTTCATCATTTCATTGATACAATGCCCTCATTCAAAACAGCATTTTATCAATAGTTTCCAGAAAATTAACACACATATGAAATTTAAAGAACATAACAATATAATGGAGAAATAATGAACTAAATATTTCTGCGAATGGTATTTGGTAAAGACATATTCGAACTTTGAAAATTCTTCACACTACATCGATTAGATTCAAAAACAAGAATTCATTAATAATAAAAATCATGTACATTCTGTAGTTTCTCTTCTAATAATGAGTTATCAGTCATTAAATGCATTTGCAGAATTACCCTACACAGAACTTTGTTTAAAGTCTTGCATTCTTCCAATAATATAAATTATGCTTACCAAATTGTTTCTCTGCATTATCTTGATAAGTAATATTTGAAAACTGAGCGATTCAGAAGCGCCAAATTTATACTGTATGTTGAGACACATAAATATCAAAAGAAATTTGGTTATAGCAGAAAAGTCATGCGTATATAATGTTCCAATAAGTACATGTCGTCCTTTACAACTCTTATCTGCAAAAATCCATATATCAATACGAACCATTGTTTATAAAAATACATTCAATTTTAATGATCCAGTAGGAAATGTGTACCACAAAAGACTTAATTGCTCTTTCCCAAATATTTGTGGCAACACTGCTCCAAGACAATAATCAGGATTATTTTGCTCTAACTGTGATGTTCATTTTTTGCCTCTATATCCAATTCTGCAAAATCTTATTACATTCTGAATTTTTTACTTTTCATAAACTTGAAATAAGGCCAAATAATAATCACAACACTGCTCTATATATTCAGCAACTAATATTGTATAAGTCATCCAAGAAGACTATATGTATAGTTTAAATTATCAATTTTGAATTTCCTTTTTCTCAGAACATTATAATAATTCTACAGTTTAATATATTTAATACACAAACCAGTTGCATCTTGCAATAACTTAAACCTTTTTACTATATATTGAGTTTAGGTCTACTAATAATCATATACTGATCAATAAATGTTTAACTATAATAAAAAATTATGTTTCTCATTTTAAAAAAAGTACAACGCACACTGTTTTCTGTTTACCTTAATTTTAGAGCATAGAAAACATTGATTATTACTCTAGGGCATTCTTTTAAGTCTGGTCGACAATTTTTATAGATCAAAAATGAGTATGTTAGTTTGTCCTTTACATTTTAGATAAAGTGATAATCATATATTACACTGAACTTCTTCATCTATATAATGCTTATGCTTTTTTTCCCCTTTTACTTTATAATTACAACTTTAAATAAAATCTAAGCACAAAAAAAAAATATTTGAATGATGATAAAATCTGATTTTCTTAGATGTCCATCTGATAAAGACAACGGTGATGGAGTAAAGACAAAAATTATAACAAAAGTGATACAGACTTGCACCACAAAAGTGCAGATCTGAAAAATCACTAAAGTGACTCAAACAGTTTTATTTTAAGTAGACTATTATAGATGATTGCTAAGACAGTTTCTTAAATATATCTATCAGATAAAGATACTAGTGATGAAAGAAAAGATAATTTTGTCAAGAATGAAGATGACTAGTTGATGAAAATATGGAATGAATAATCACAACAGTGACTCTAAAATAGTCTTATCTTATGATAATTTCACTAAACATGATAATAAAGATAACTTCTAAATTAGTTATATGATGAAAACAATATCTAATAGTCGTGAGAAAAAAAGAAGGCAACAATTTTATCAAGAATGATTAACGCTTGCATGACATAAATGTGGAAATGAATAATCAGAATAGTCTCAGTAAAACAGTCTTACCTTTCTAACATTATTAGCAATGATAATGACCAATTTCTAAATTACATCCCTTGGAAATATTAACAGATGAAATGATGATGATTTTAGCAAAAATAGTGAAGACTTACATAAGTAAAAGATGGCAATGAAAATAATTTTTTAGTTCTATCAGCTGAGCTGAAGACAGTAATGCCATAAACCAGCGGTTCTCAACTTTTTGACTAAAGCATACCATCTACAAAACATACAAAAATTGAAATCCTTTAAGTACCACTACTCTTGAACAAAGCTCAGATCGCAAAATTTATGAGTGTTAGAGAAAAAACTTAATCAGGATGTTGGGGTTTTAATTTTTGAATTTAATAGTTAAAAATACTTTGCTTCTTGCGTACCACCTATTTTTCTCTTGTATACCACTGGTTGAGAACCCCTTGCATAGACAGATAAAAGTTTTGTTAGAGAGATGGATTCAGTGACAGAAATAGTCAATTCAAAAATTACAGCAGTGATTCTGAAACAACTTATCTCAAGGTGACTAAAGCGACTTAACTGATAATAATTATGATAATTTCTTAGTTAATTTAACACAATCTTAAAATATGAAAAAAAATTACAACAATTTTGAAAGCAACACCTTCCCTCCCCACCCAAAAAGGGAGTATTTTAAATAAATGATCAAAACTAAAATGAATGGCAAAGGACATTTCTGAAGCAATTAAATTTTCCTAAAAATAATCAATACTAGGGTTACTAATAAAATAATGATATGCATTAATTTAAACATCAGACAGATGCATACATTTCTGCTAACCTGGTACTAAAAATGATATCTAAAACTTTTATTGTAAAACTCAAAAATAAAACTACTTTTCATACCATTGCTAGCAAATTCTTTAAGATGCTCCAGTGTTATTTCCTTGTATTGTTGATGATCTCCAAGCCTTTCATAAATAACAGTATCCTAAAATTACAAGAACATATATGTAACATAAAAGATATATAAAAGATAAATTATAATTTAAATTAGCAATAGCCCCTTAATGTTTGAGTATTTCTCCTCTGTATTCTAAAAATAGTAAGCTTTTTCTGCACTGCATCATTTCGAGACTAATCCATGTCATATGACTCCTACATAGCACTGGTGATGTAAATGGAACTAAAACTCAAACAGCCAACAATAATTTTACAGCGATATTAATTATCTGATCAAATGCATTGAGAACTGAAACTAACTCATTCTGAAATTAAATTTCAACCTGAACACAATGCACTTGCTTTCTACACTTTGACCTAGTTGGGTTGCATCTTGCTGCTCTCTGCTTACTGAAAAAGCTATCAAAAGTGTTAACATATTGAAATAAATACAAGTAGTGTGCCAAGTTGTTTATGGCCGCAACATGTTTACTAAATTAAAAATAAGATTTAATCTGCCTCGGCTGCCAGTATCCATTATGGATCAGCATTCTAGGCAATCAAAATTCGTGCAATCAGATTCAATGTTCTACGCTCTATGCCATCAATATTGCGAAGTGCTTTAATTACATATATAAACACTCAATATAGTTATTGACTGATGCTTCTTGTATTTAACAATAATAAGCTATACATTTTAAAATTTTTCATGATTAAAAAATATCTCTTAGGCTCAGAATCTATACCATTAATATGGTTAACTTTTTATTTATTTTCATTTACAATGCCCTAAGGTCAGGTTTGCATATAAATGAATATATTTAGTATTTCAGTTTAAATTATTGGTGTGTTAATTAGTAACTTTATTACATAATTAATTTTTCAATTACAAATCTTTGCCTCAATTTAAATCAATGGCCTTCAAACAATGCCACAGGCTAAGGTGCTCTTATATATAAGGCACACGAGATATCCCAGAAGAACTGAAAGAGGATAGGGTAAAAAAGGGGGGGAAGAAAAGCTTTTTTGACAAAAAAAAAGGGGGGAAAGCTTTCTTATCTAACAAGATCAACATCTCCTTCAGAAATTACCCAGGGGTTCAGGTTTTTAGTTAAAAAATAATTATACAGCACTTTTCAAGCACAACATTTAAGAAAAAAAATAAGCACTGTCAATTACATCTACACAACTGCATAACCTTGAAAATTAGAAGTAATTTAAAATAAGTGAAATGAAGTACTTATTAAGAGAGAATAAGCATTACCTCAACCATGGAAAATAATTACTTATTTTTTTAATTTTAAATAATAGTTCAATTTAAGAACTAGTTTATATGAGAGAAAAAAATCTATGAAGAACTAAACTATATTACAGATTTAATGATGAAATTTCAGTTCAAAATAGAGAAAAATAATAATAAGGCTATTTTGTATTCGTTTGGAAACTCATAAATACAATTTATTTTTCCACTCATATTGATATTTAATAATTTAAATCTAAATTCTGAACATTTTCTAAATTTTCATGTATATCAGTTTTATCTTAACAAAATTGCAAGCAAAGTAATTTAAGTAAAAAAGAGAACATTTCTGAAATCAGAAGACAGAAATTTGCTACATGCAGTTATCCTTTAACAGTAAAAGCTTAACTAACCCGCATACTTGGAAACTGATGAATATTCGGACAGTCGAGCGTAACTTGAAAAAGCGCAGAAGCGGAGGGGGTAGACTGTAGCCGCTCTTTAGATTTTCCCACTAAATAAATGCTTTTGACGTTTTGATATGTGCATCATATCAAAATAAACCAACGGAACTAAAAAATATTCTGCTTAGCAAACGCAGTAAAACTCTTCAGTTAAGTAAGTGTTCATAAACAAATATCGGACTGAACATCAAAATTAATTACCTCTGCAAAATATCGCAAACGTTATTGTGCAATATGTGCGTCGTATTACGTGATATTACGCAATCGGAATCAACAGCTGCCGGTATTGCGAAAATAAAGAACTAAATAACTGCGGTGATTTTCATTCTAATTTTCAACAGACGGCGTTAAATTTCCGGAATAGAATTATTTTTCGCTTGGGCTGGTAGACCGCAGAACTTTTAGTCCTATTCAATCCAGATTGGAAGTAACCAAAAAAAAAGTCGTGCTTGTTTGCCAGCGAACTGTAACAGTTTCAATATTCAAGATTTGCGGAGAAAAGGAAGACCTCCCAACCTCGTACTGAATAATATATTGGCCCAAAAAATGAAATTATTTTGACTATTTGATTACTTTCCTTTATTTAAGCCATTCCAAATATTATCCTTAGATAGCTAATCTGTGTTAAAAACCAACCATTTTTGAAGTTTACTATACTTCAGCAGTTACTGCAAAATATGTTATATAAACATTCACACATATGCTCATAATATAAGCATAACGATCATAATAAACACGAATATGAACCGACCAAGCAGAACGAGAATGCAAATTTTAAGATCATTGATAGAAATTAAGTGTGTAGTATTGGGTGGAAGGAAAAAAATCCGAAGTACCGGAATTTCTACTGCTTTCGCAATTCTTTGACAAAGAACGACGGGCACCTGTCTGTCTCTTCGCGCACACCAAAGGTTTGTTAATGCAAAGAAAGGGAAAAAAGCTATTCCAAGAGTATGACTCCCCATCTGATATTCCATATTAAGAAGAAAATTTGTTTATTTAGTTTCAGCTTTGATGCGCGGAAAAATAGTGCGTTCATTAAAAAAAAAAAAGCACTAAAAGCAAAAAATAAGGACTTTAAAGAAAAAGTAAGCACCTATAAGGGCCTTTATATTTTATTTTCAAATATAAGGACTTATAAGCACTTATAAGGACCGCTACAAACCCTGTTACCTGTGTTACCCACCACATGCAGATAATATTTAGAGCTATATGTATACCTAAAATATAACCGTTTTTGTATTCCTGACCAATTTTTAAAATTTGTCTGAGATCTTTTGAATCACTCTGCATACTACAACCTAGTTCAGTTTTTCTGATATGAAATACTGACGTCAAACATTCTAATAAAATAAAATTAATAAATACTGATAAATAATGGTAAAATGAAGACAAAAATTGAAAATCACAATGAACTTACAGCTCCTTTACAATACAGCTTGATCTTTCCATTGGGCGTCCTGACAATTACTGACATACGCTTTCGATCACTAAAAAAAGATATTTCATTTAAATTTCAGATATTTAAAAGAAAAAAGATAGTAACAAAAACACAACTTGCAACGTGATCCTTCACACTTCACACATGTCAAAAAATGATTTATTAAAAAAACACTGAACATTTTGCAAAATATCACAGATGCTTAAAATGTTGAGTAATACATTTGTCTGCATCCATATTTAGCTTTTTAAGGATATTTCGAATACCGATTTCTCTATATGATATTAAACTTCCTTACTAAATTTAGAAAAAAGACTTTTCCACAACTGGACACCTTCATAACACTGCCTTAAAAATGGTGTAAACATCTGCAGGAAAATTAATCAGTGTAGATCACTGCAGTAGTATTGAAAAATCAGAAACTTCTAAGCAGGGTACCACAACAAATTGACTGAATAGTGAACAGTTTAGTGAATGCCACTGAAAGAGCTTTTCAGCTAGCCCATTTTCTTGCCAAAAATTGAATTTAAGCCTAAAGTACCATAACCAGTGATCATGGCTCACAGATTTCAGCATTTAATGTTGCCCATTTAAAAAAAAAAAAAAAAAAAAAAAGCATAACACATTAATTTTGGATTGCAATAACACAACTGACTTGTGCTTGGCATAAATTTTAGTCAAGACTGTTGATTTCGAAGACAAAGCAGGTACAGGTCTCTGTTTTCATTAGGAGCAAAGACATCTGCAATGAAAAGAAAGCCCCGGTTGTATTTATACCCAAAAGGAGTAAGTGAACGAGAAAGTAGCGCCATCCAATTCACTGTGATTTTCTTGAAGCTTTTCACATTCACAGAGTTTTATCTTGTTTAGTTAATGATTTTAATTCCAGGCCAGTTTTTCCTAATACTTTTAGAATTCTATTAACTTAATTTTTCAACTTTTATTACTATTTCTGTCAACAGATGACGCTACTGTTTCATTTGCTTTAATCCTTTTGGGTATGATTATGATTTTCCCTTCGATGTAGATTTGTTCGCTCCTGATGAAGAAAGACCTGGACCTGTTTGTCCTCGATATCTTGTGTTGAACATAGAGTCTTGTCTAACCTCTACGTTCAACACAAGGCTGTTGCTTTGCTTAATTTTATGTTTTACTATAGTGTGTTTATCTTCTGTTTTCACAACTGAGCATGGTTTGCGAAGTAAAAAACGTGAATTTAAGAAACAGGCCTCACTTTTTCAATACAATATCTCAGAGATGTTCTCCTTGGTAAAGACGGCATTGTTGCTGTGTCCTAGGTAGATTTGCGAAGACACAGCATTGAGACTCTTGTATAATATTCACAATATCCCAACAAATTGTAATTTTAAGCTACTGATGAATGAAAACTTGAGTTTTTTAATATCCTTATTAAAAAAGTCTACTGCATTGGTTGAGTAACTTTTCCTTGATCAATTGACAGCTCTTGTTCAATTCCCCGGACCTTATTTCAACAAAATTTTTATACACATATTTGCAAGGTCAGGTTTCTATCTACATGCTATCTAACATTAATAACCTTAAAATGTAATAGATGAGAAAATTCAATATATATCCCTACTTGTCAATAGATTGTGAGTTATATAGGATACTCTAAGTAAGGTCATGACAAGTGTACTCGGGAGAAGCAGCAATGCTTTGATTGCCAGGAAAAACACCTCCAAGATGTTATATTGAAGAAATGAGACATGCTTACGACCTGATACAATCTCGTTCAGTTGTATTTATTGCTACATACAATAACTGTGTTATTTAGCCGGTGGTCTCAAACTGGTGGCACCCAAAGTAATTTTATGCAGCCCCAAATACATTTGTTGTTGTTGCAAATAATATTATATTTGTTGCATGGATTTCAAGATTTTAATTATTTGAAGTCTGAGTTTATATTATTTTTATTATCATTATATACTATTATGAAAAATGCCTCAGAAAAATCTACAGATATAGCTAACTAACTAGAAGTATAATATAAATCTTATTGAAAGATTTTGAAGACACAGATTTTATTTACTTTTATCCATACTTCAGTCAAAAAATAAATAAGCTCAGTCACAAATAATTGCTTTATTTACGAGTATATTGCTATGAAATGTACAGGCTCAGTAAGATGACTTCCCCGCAAAGCAGTTTTAAGGTTGCCATAAAATGGCAAGGGAAGGCGGGGTTGCCATATTTGGCGAGAAATCGCCCATTCGGCGACATTTGGCTACAAAATTGGCGATATACCATGGACGATTGGAGAACCTTCTTTAACGAATTCTTACCGGTTTAGCCCAGAATGTCCTTGAACAAAGGCGGAAAGCTATATGAACCCTGATGGACGCAGTCAGTAAGTGTGCGTTTCTCATCAAGTGAGTGTGTCTCGTCTAGCGAGTCAATCCCTGCGGAGGCGATCACGTTGACAGCTGACAGCGAGTGGGTCGTCGAATGCACCGAAAGAATCTCGTAGTGTATCGTGGTTAGTGCATCGTCGAGAGAGCATGTTGAGCTCCAAAACAACTGAACCGAGAGTCAGGAGCTGTGCTCTGTGTGTCGTTGAGTGCATTGCAAGTTGTAGCGCGGAGAGTCTCGAGAGTACATGGAGTTCTGAGAACGACCAAGCAGAGTCGGATGCTTTGCAGGAAGCTGTCTCCACCGTTATTGCCAGACAGTGTGAAGGCTGTGTCGTTGATTGTTCCAACATGTTTATAAGGAGATCTTCGACCGACTTGTAAAACGTGTTTTGGAGCTGTCCTGACAATACTGACTAATAAAGAGTGTTTTGATACTTCATCACGTAGTGTCATCATTATTCACTCCAAATCTATGAACCCCGTACGAACGTGAAGGAAGAAAATAACGTAACAATTCGTGTCAGAAGTGGGACTGAAAAACATAACAATATGTATATGAGAACAGCCCTTTTTCATAGCTGAAAATTAGTAAGAAAAAACCCTATGACCAATGAGTATCTGTAATATGGGATAAGATAATTTATAGCAATTTCTCTCAAAGAACGTTTTCAGAATTGAAATGCCATCAACAGTCAAGCTGTAGTAAGAAATAAAAAAAAGTGTATAATTATTTACACACAACCATTAGATTAGATTATTAGTTTAGATTGCTAACATTATATTTTTATTAGATTAGATTATTATTTAGATTTTTATTTATGCATCGAAGAAAAGGTTGATAAATGAGAGAAAGAGACCAATGTTTATTCTCAAGTTTTGTCCCACCTGGAAAATTTGAAAAGAACTCATTTATGAAAAGAATTCATTTAATATTAATGAAAACTTGAAATGTTTCCATAATTTATTCCTTTTTAGTTTAAATTAAATTATTCAAGGATTAATTAAACATGTTAGAATTATGTTAAATAAATGCCAGTCTGAAATTTATTTGTATTTAGCTATCAGTATCAAAACTAAATGTTCATAATTCGTTCATTTTTAATTTAAATTAAACTTAATTATTTGATGATTTATTAAACACGTTAGAATTATGTTAAATAAATGCCAGTCTTAAATTTATTTACATTTAGCTATCAGTATATTTGAATAACAAAATTATATCCAACAAAAATGTCTTGCAAGTAGCAAATTTTCAGATAAAAAATAAATATAAATCTGTATCTTTTTCCTTTCCAATATTATTATTGTTTATGTCTATTTTTATAAATATTTAAAATAGTGGAATTTAAAATAGTTTTATTTTGTTATTAAAAAATTAGATTGTCAGCTGTTCTTAAATTGTGCATTCAGCGGTCATGCAATCTGAGGTTGAGACCACTGATCTAGCCAACATTGAAAACGGGTAACAGTAAATGCACACCCTGTATTTGTCTGCTTGCAAGTTGCGATTTAAAAGGTATCGCACTTCTTATTAATGTGCAAATATTTACTGGTTGCATAAGCCAGTTCTTATTCATCCATTTATAAGAGCTTAATGGTCTTATAAATGATAAATAAGATGCAGTTTATATTACACTTAATATACTGAGTTATCCAAAGTAACAGAAAAAGTAAAAACTTAATAATTTTAAAACTACATAACGTAGCATGATGAATTTTGCATAAAAATACATAGAAAGACGTGGGATTTAAAAAAAAAAAAATTTCAATGATGGACTGGTGTTTCATATAAAATCACATGATGATCATTCAGTATCATTATCAAAACATATAAAAAAAATAAACATGTACAATAACTGAAATCAGCTGATTTCAAGAGATGTCATGGATCCACAAAATGAGCTTTAACAGACGAAAAATGATGAGGACTGGCTGCCAAAAATTGTATGGATTAAGAAGGCACATTTTGTGTAAAGGAATTGTAAATGAACACAACTGCCTTGTTTGCATGAAAGAGAACACACATGTAATTGTGGAAACTCCTTTACCTGAGCCAAAAAGTACAGCATGGGGCAGGTTCACTGCATCATTCATTACATATATACAGTGTAAGTCGTTAATTCGGACACCCATAATCCGGAATGATCTATAATCTGGACCTCAAAGCTACAAACTTTCTCATGCGCGTAAGACCTTTGTGGCTGCGCTTATGCGTGTGCGCATGCTCATAATATGTTTAGGCATGCGCGTTTAATGTATAACGGATGGTATAAGCTAAGCTAAAATTATCTAATTCAGTTAATGTTGCAGATTGCATTGTTATTTAACCTTTGAATTGGATCCGGCTTATTATTTTTTGCAGACTGTTAGAGCAATTTTATAAAAGTAAGCTTGAACTTTTGATTAAGTCAGATAGAATTTCCGATGCTGGAACTCCCAAAGGATCTACAAAGCCGAAAGTATGTTTCGATGTCCATCAAAAAACAAAAAGTGGAATGCTGCAAAGAAATGGATAATAAAGGCATATCCTTGTTTCTCGAACCATTCCGAAATCTGTTTATCAATTTCACGCTCTGCGGCGGGGGGGGATGGATCGACGCAATGAATTGGAAGTTGATCTGTCAGCACTATCCTCAATTCAGGGCAGATGTTTTGATTTTATTTGGTTTATAATTCCTTACTAAATGTAGTATTCATCTCGATGTACTCCGTCTTGATATGATTTAAATCATATTCCTCGTCATATAATTCGCTTTGATAGTGAAGAAAGTGACACAGAGGGTTATTGAAAATGAAAAAAATTCGATTGACAAATAGTAGTCAGTATTTCTCGACACAGCAATTATAGGAACTTGAACAACGGAACTTTGTAACTGAACAAGAAATTATGTCTGTTATATAGAATTAAAGAGAAAAAGCATTATCACATAAAAAAAGCAACTTAAACAACTACATTGAAAGAAATGATTAGTAAGTAAACAAATAAATATTAAGCTTTTTTTTTTTTTTTTTTTTTTTTTTTTTTTGTAAATTTTGATATTTTTTAGATCATAATTGTTCTTTATTTCATAAATTACGGTTTCATACTTTTAATTTTATAATTTCTGCATGCCATCTTGCCAGATTTAAACTGATGATCTATAATCCAGAAAAATCGATAATCCGGAATCGCCGAAGTCCTGACGAGTCTGGATTAATGACTTTTGACTGTATTTTCCTTTGAGGAAGTCCACGGTAATACATTTCAAACTCTTTTGACCACAGCGTAGCATTATTTAGTGCTTTTAAGAGGCAGAACTATTCCCTCCATGCAAGAGAAACAACTACTCCATAGTGTAACATTCACGTAAGATGGAGTATCTATATACAGGCCCATACCAGCAACAGTTATGATTGACTTTTGACAATAACCATTTTCTCAGTTCATCTTTACTATATGAATAGCCACAAAGGTCCCCCAAACCTTACACCTTGTAACTTTTGGTTATGGGATTACTTGAAGTCAGAGGTGTACAGAGGTCAGCCAGTGTTACTGGCCACACTGAAAGTTATTCATCATCCTGAGGCACAAATTACCCCTCTTTCCTGTGTAGAATGTCGTGCCATGTGTGAAGGCCACCCTCATGAAAATGACTATTACACTGAAAATGTGTAATGCTAACCACAAACTGTGTTGTGCCATTGTAGGAACTTCTGGCATAACTGAAGCACCACCTGTCATTCAGAAACATAATTATTTTGGCAATAAAATCTTTCATGTTGAAAAGAAATGTGTTTTTCTATACATATCAATGAAAACTGTATCATGCTAAAAATTAGTAATTTTTTTTCTTTCCTGTTACTTTAAATTATGCAGTCATCATTTTCAGAACAATTTTTATATTGGGATTAAAGTTAAACAAAGTTTTACCTTGTGAACTCTAACACGTTCAATACTTCATACTTTTCCTCAACACCCAGCTGTTAAAAGAAAAGAGGGATTAAGCAAGTAGCACCATATTAGCAGGAAAAGAAGGGAAAAAAAAAATTAATATAATGTAAAATCACATGATTTTTTTCAGCAAACATTTTATTACTATTAAAATGAAATAAACATATATAAGAGGAAAAAAACACTCACAAATCTTTTATTTTCACAATTCAGAACCATCTTAGCAGGTAGGTAATTTATTACAACATAAAATCCAATGGCTATCTGCCTTTGATAAGGACTTTCTAAACAAAACTGATTTTTTATTAGCATTATACAGAATGTGTTTAAAAGAAGAAGTGACAAACTTTAAAATTGCAAAAGAGCAAGGAAGTGAGGTACTACAAATAAAGAAGTCACTCGGGGCTTAATTTATAAAATTAGAAGTTTCGGAGCCCTATGGAAGACTGTGAGGAAGGAAAGAGAAAACAAATAATAATAATAAATCTGAAGGCTTTCAGATTTTACATTACACCCAAAGAGGTGTTTTTCTAACGTTTTTTGTGTTACCTTTATTTTTTAAATATCATGTTCTTCACACTTAAACCATAAAATTCAGTTTAACAGCAATATCGCAAAATAATTTTAAAATCAGCATAGCTTTAGAATTTCTGATAGACAGGCTCGCGCTCTGGAGGTAAAAATGTTTTTTCTGTATAGTGTTGCCATTGCTCGCTTTGAAATTGTTCAGTTTGTTAATCAAAAATGCATTAAGGTTTTACAAAATATGAAATAGATAATAAAACAAAATTGAAATTTTAAATTTGGGCTTCCAGGATTTGTAAATGTTGTAAATTTGGAAATGCTCAATATTCAAAATTTGATGGCTCTAGGTACTGTTTTTTTATCACAATGCGAAAAACATACATACATTTACCCATATTCTTTATTATTCAATTTCATTAAATATAATACAGGGCTCTGATATTTGGTGGAACCAATTTGAAAAGTGAACCGAGATTTACAGTGAACCAACACAAAATGCCAAAACGACATTAATAGTCCTTCTGGGCAAATTGCCCCTTTGGACTAATAAATAAATAAAATAACTAAAAATTAAAAATTAATAATCATTAGATTCATTTTCATTTATTTTAATTTAAATAATAAATTTAAATTAAGAAAAATGTAAAGAGATAAAGAGAAATCTAATACATTATTAAATTCAACTTAAATAGTTAAATAGAAAAAAAAAGTATTGGACCTTGCCTTATTTGGGGCATCAGCTGGAATTACAATTACTCTTAGATGCTAAGAAGCAGCTCAGCTGATCTCCATCTGAGTTTAAGCTCTGATTATATATATAATGTACTATTCCAAGAAATGGCAGGTACAACTCTTTTACAATGAGAGGGAAAAAACTATGCAGAACTAAACTATATTACAAGATTTAATGATGAAATTTTGGTTCAAAATATAGAAAAAAATTAATAATAAGGCATATTTATTGTATTTGCTTGGAACCTAATAATAATACAATTTATTTTTCCACTCATATTGATATTTAAATAATTTAAATCTAAATTCTGTACATTTTCTAAATTTTCAATTGTATATCAGTTTTCCCTTAACGATATTGCAAGCAAAGTAATTTAAGTAAAAAAGAGGAATATTTCTGAAATCAGAGAGACAGAAATTTGCTTCATGCAGTCATCTTTAACAAAAAGCTCAACAACCGCATACTTGGAAATTTCGGACAGTCGAGCGTAACTTGAAAAAGAGGAGTGGAGGGGGGGTGTAGATTGTAGCCGCTCTTTACATTTTTCCACTAAATAAATGCTTTTGACATTTCGATATGTGCATCATATAAAAATAAACCAATGGAACTGAAAAATATTCTGCTTAGCAAACACAGTAAAACTCTTTTAAGTGTTCATAAACAAATCTCAGACAGAACATCAAAATTAATTATCTCTGCAAAATATCACAAAACTTATTGTGCAATACGAGTGCCGTAATTCTACCCTATGTGATATGCAATCGGAATCAACAGCATCAAAATTAATTTAATTCTACCCTATGTGATATTACGCAATCGGAATCAACAGCTGCGGTATTGGAGAATAAAAAGTAAATAACTGGGGTGTTTTTCATTTAATTTTCAACAGACGGCGTTAAATTTCCCGAATAAATCATTCTTCGCTGGGTTGGTAGACCGCAGAACTTTTAGTCCTATTCAATCCAAAGGAAAAAAAACAAAAAAAAAAAAAAAAAAAAAAAAAAAAAAAAAAAAAAAAAAATAAAAAAAAAAAAAAAAAAAAAAAAAAAAAAAAAAAAAAAAATCCGTTGTTGTTTTACAGCGAACTGTAACAGTTTCAATATTCAAGATTTTGCGGAGAACGGAGAGAACCTCCCAATATTCGTACTGTATAATATGGTGAAAAAAAAGAAATTATTTTAATCGATCTTTCCCTTATTTAGTTCCAATATTACCTAGATAGCTAATCTGTTAAAACACAACAATTTTTGGAAGTTACTATACTTCCAGTTACTGCAACTATGTTATTATAAACATTCATACAATGTCATAATAAATAACGATATAATAAACACGAATACGAACTGACCAGCAGACAGAATGCAAATTATTTATTAAGATCTTGAAGAAATTAAAGCGTATATTGGGTGGAGGGAAAGAATGCCAAATTATAACGGAATTCTACTGCTTCACAATTCTTTGACCAATAGAAGGACGGGACCGTCTGTACTCTTTGTGCACACCAAAGTTATGTTAATGCAGAGAAGGGGGAAAAGCTATTTCTGGGAGTATGATTCACCATTACATTCCATATTAAGAAGAAAAGTTTGTTTATTTAGTTTCGGCGTTGGTACCGAGAGAAAAGAAAAATAGCGCGTTCATTAAAAACACTAAAACAAAAAATAAGCACTAAAAACAAAAAAATAAGAGCTTTAAAGAAAACGTAAGCACCTATAAGGGCCTTTATATTTTATTTTCAAATATAAGGACTTATAAACACTTATAAAGACCACTACGAACCCTGTTAATGTAACAGTGTAGCTTGGAAAATAAAGAGGGAAGAGTTCAAGACTTTCTGATCGCGATGCTCAGTCGATATAATTCTAGCCTGTCAAGCAGAAATTTAGCCTGAATACAACATGAGAATAAACATAAGACATCTCTATGCAAGTAACAGCAGTGGTCTCCCTGTTTTGTTACATCATTCAGAAAGTCTACAAGAGCTCTGCAGTAGGAAGTCACTAGCGTGGAACGTGCATGACCAGGGTATCACTTTTAGTTCTTTGAGGAATACAGAATTTACCCGCTCTCATTGCATATCCTGAAGAATAAGCCTTTGACATATGATTGAGAGTCTTTTCTTTCTTTAAAAGTCTCAAAATCTGTGCAAGGCTTGAGTGCGAGAGAAAGACTAGGCCTGCATTCAGAAGTTAGAATTAATTTTTAAGGCATGTTTACCATTAAAACAAAATTTATGTGCTAAAATTGTGGTTCACTTACATAAAAGAAGTGTTGAAGCCCAATGCGCCAATAAAAGGTCCAATAAAAGGACTCCAATGCGCTTTGGCCAAAATTATAATTTATCTCGAAAAACTGAGAAGTACCGGATCCGGGCTTTGGTACAATTTAGGCTCTGATGTCACTAAAGATAAAGAAACAATTTTAACCTTGAAAAACTGCAGTGACTGTTCAAAACAGAAACCACCAACACACCATATCAAGCCCACAATGGTGCTGGTGGGATTGATGGACTTTGCCAAACATTTTAATCATACTGCATATAGCTGCAGCATAAATAAAAATCCTAGCAACTAATTTCTCATCAAATTCATAGGAAGTCTCTTATACGTATGAAACACCTGAAATAGTTCAAAACAATTTATCGAAACTGAGCCACAGCAAATTGGGTGACGATGGGAATCTACGTATGGAGCAACTTTGCCAATGCAAAGGTAAGGAAAGGTAAAATCCAATTAAATTTTTATGTTTTGGCACTTCATTGTACTGAAATAAATATGCTGCTGGAGCATCCTTCAGCAACTCTGATGAGATCAGCAGAAACATAGAATACTTCCCCCTTGAGTTGTAGAACATATATAGAGAGCAAGACTGGTGAAATCATAAACTGATTCATTATCTCAGATGTTGAAACTGCATCCTATTTATGCTTTCAGAATTCAAGAGATCACTCTCTAGCATACTGACATACCATTTCACAGCGAAAATTATTGGTTTAGTATGTCCTACTACCTGTAAGTTTCTATTTTCTGAAACATGGGAGGAAACATGAAATTTCTATGGAAAATGTACACTTATTAGTCAGAAACTAGATTTGGGAAAAAACTACTAATATTTAGTGGCCTTAACCATTTGGACAATGGCAGTTTAATTATTCATTCAATTACTGGCATAAACTCAATAATATTTAAATACAATATAAAGTACAATAAAAAAATCTCCAGTCATAGAATAAAATTTAAGGAACACACAAACAAAGAAATGTAAAAATGAACTATAAATTTGAGGATGAGGGTTTGATTTTTGTAAATTCTTATTACTATTAATTGATTAAATTCTATTTGGTAGTCAAATTCTCAATTCCTAAACAAAGTTCAAGATAATAAAAGTAAATGTATGATCAAATAATATGGCAGAAAATCATGCCACCCTTATTTGCTTGCTTAGTATCAGAGATTTCAAGATTTACAGAAGTATCTTTTTAAGTTCTAAATGTACACAAATGCTGAATATTGTCATTTCCCCTTAATGACCATAAAAATGAGCAATTGCATGATTATTACAGAATCATGCATCCAGATAAGATAAAAATGGTTAAGTCAGGGCCTTATGTGTATTCACAGGCTTAAAAGTTCAAGCCTCAGATTCTTTGCTCACACGCTGTAATGACAACTGAACTTGGTATCTTGAATCTTTTTTATCTCAAATCCCTCAGTACTTCAAAAGATACCTTGAATCGTTATCTCAAATCCTTCAGTACACCACGGGGGGAAAAAAACATTGTATGCATTTTAATCATTAAAATTAATACATTTTCCCAGTTATCTGAAATCACTTCCTTTGAAATTCTTGCTACTTTTAATTTCTGATTCCTGGGTCAGAGCAATGAATAGACCAAGGGTTCTTGAACAGGGAGGAACCCTTCACAGTTTCCCGGCCGAGGGGGGGTGACATGAGGTCAGCCTTTTATTTAATCAAGTATTTAGTTTCAGTTTATGAATATAAAAACACCTTTCATTCAAGTTTTGGTACTTATCAAAATTCTCAATTCTTGTTTAATTTATAAAACACATTAAAAAATAACTTACATTTTAATAAACATATATGTTTTTTTTTTTTTTTTTTTTTTTTTTTTTTTTTTTTTTTTTAGTTTTGGAAATGAGAGAGGGAGGATGATCATCTAGAAATAGTGTAAGGGGCGCATGGAGTAAGAAAGGTTGAGAATCATTGGAACAGATAACTGAATTCCTACATCATCCCAGAAACACTTAGCAGTCTTCAATGGTCTGAGGGCTTGTCCATCTCTAATCCCCAGGTTTTATACCACTGGGAGTGATCCTTGGTTCAGTTTTGGATGTTCTAAATGGGAAGACATCCAAAGCCCTGAATGCTCCACATGAAGAATTTTCCATGCTCTCCAACCTCCAACATAATGATAACCAATAATATCTTTTTTCACAGAAAACAATACTGTTAGAGAAATTTTTGCTATTGTAAGTTTGACTCTTTTGATAAGGTCAGTGTAGTTCGTGTTTTTACTGTCTATTAACTAAAAAACTTTATTTGAACCTAGATAAAGCTTGTATTTTAAAAGTTTAAGTTTAAAAGCTTATAATTAAAATTAGACATTGGATTGGTAAAATTTCATATTAATGCGTGTCACATGTTGTTAATATTGTATGCATTGCAATTCTAAAATTTCCAGAAATTAAAGCCTTATTATTTTAAAAAATCTTTTATCTTATTTTTTTGATTTGTTTGTTTTGTTTTGTTTTTCAGTAAGATTAGAGGTACTTGGTATGTACTGGATGGCAATAAATACATTGCAGCTGTTTTTGACTATCAGTGGTCAGAATACCTCTGTATTCATACTTCCCATTAAATTTAATTCTACTGTGCTTCTACAGAATTTTTCTGTTATGAACAGATTGCATTAACCATGTTCCCTTCTTCCCCTGTTCTGTTAGAAAGAGCATAATTTTATTTCTATGATTTCTTGAAAAGTATATAATATCACACAATATAGTACCCATATTTCTATTTCATCCTTTGCATATTCTGCTGAAATCTCAGAAATGCTTTCATGCATCTGACAAATAGAGTGTACTATAGTGTGCTATATATTTCACTTTATCTAGTAGCACAGAAATTGTAGTACAGAGTATACTGTGTCATTTTTAATTACTTTGGATGTGAACAGAATAACTCTATAGATCACACTAGTCCTAGATCAATCATAACTTCATTTGCCACTTGGCCATTTCATAGTAAATCTGTGATTCTTCCTGTTTACAGAACCTTTGGATGTCATTTTTAAAAAGTTTATATGACTTTTTATTTTTATTTTTTCAAAATGCATGCTGCTAAATTTCCAACACACTAGAACATACAAATTTAGCTTTGCCCCTTCTCTTGAATTTACACCATACTGGAATCACATCACAGCTTGCAATCACATGTTCCCCTCAGCATGCAGTGTTGTGAGATAAGTCTTTAGCAACTGCTGAGCAATCAAACTTAATACCTTTGTTGGTTACATAGTGAATTTAAATATAGGATTTTTGTCCAAACATTCTAAAAGTGATGCTAAATAAAGGTAATACATTAAAAACTTTAAAAAAAGGGGGCATAAACACTGCTTACTGTGATTAAATATAATAAAGTGCTAAATAATTGCATGCTATTAAAGAAATTACTACAACAAGATCATTTACAATCACATTTCGGATATAATTTAACTACAATATTTAAATTATTTTAAAAATTTATTTAGAAAGTTATAAAATATTTAATTTGTTATTATACAGGGTGTAATAGAATTGGTGGTGACAAATTTAAGAGGGAGAACATGAAAAAGGTCAAAAGTTTCATAATATACAGTGTGTTTCAAAAAGAATATACGTATTTTGAATGCATATATTATTAAACTGTATGACATACGAATATGAAACTTTACACACATATGTATGAACTACTCAATTTCAGATTACAGATGTTACAGATGTTCAATATGTCCTCCATCACGAACAATATCACATGGATACTTAAATTCCTCCTATACTCGAGGAAGCATGTCCGTCATCATTGATGTTCTGACAGAGTACGGATCTGGTTCTTCACCTCTTCCAAGTTCTGTGGGAGTGGTGGTACATAAACGTTATCCTTAATGAAACCCCACAGGAAGAAGTCACAGGGTGTCAAATCCAGTGACCGTGGAGGCCAGCTTCTTGACGACCAATCCAACGGTTAGGTAGAGTTTCATTCAGATAATCACGATCTTGGGGACACCAATGAGTGGGGGTTCCCCGTCTTGTTGAAAAATGAAGTTGTCTTCATGCAGCCTCGGAAACAACCAGTTTTCTAACATAGTGAGATACTGCTGACCATTAACAGATGATCAGGATATTGCACAAAACACATTGATTTTAGGTGAATCTCGTACATGTTTGATGGCTGCATACAGGTTTTGTAGACCCCAAATTTGAACATTGTGTTTGTTTACATGACCACTAACATGAAAAGTCGCTTCATAACTGAACAAGATGTGTTGTGCAAAAGTGTTATCATTGTCAATATCATCAATAATCTCATTACAAAATGACACATGTTTGTGTTTGTAATCAAGATGCAGAGCCTGTAACTTGTGCGGCTTCATAACCAACTGACGTCTCAAAACATGCCAGACTGTTGTTGTAGTCAGTTGTAACTCCCGACTGGAACAGCGAGTTGATTTTGAAGGACTACGTTGGAAAGCAGCTTGAATTTATGCAACTTTTTCGTCGGGAAGATGAGGGCGGACAGAACTCTTTCCTTCACATACACATCCTGTGTTTACAAACTGTTGATACCATCTGTGAATGTTCCACCATTCGGAGGATCACTTTGGTACCTCAACTTGAAATGTCTTTGCACTGTAATAACGGAATTGCACTTCGTGAACTTGAGAATACAAAATGATTTCTGCTGCGAAGTAGCCATTTTAAACATATGACAGTTACCACGCTAAACAGAAGACAACTGACATCTAGCGACTATTATTATAAATTAGATTATGTATTCGTTTCACCAATAGCCGAGTCGAGGTGCAGTGATCGACTGTTTGGACAAAATAACACTTTGTAATATGTATATTCTTTTTGAAACACGGTGTACTATAATGTATGGTGGAATGCAAAATATGAACATAGAAATATAAAAAAATATGAAGATCATAGAAAACAAGAAGTTATTTTAATCTTGAATATTTACAAGAAATATTTTGATTTTTTAATTGAAATTTTGATATTCATAAGACCTGTTCAAATAACAGACTAGTAACTTAAAAACATGCATCACAACAAAGTCAGGTCTTGCATACAAGACACAGGTTGAATCTCCTGAATACCTTGTTGCAAGAATTAGTATTGCTACTGCAAAAATATGCAATATGCCAGGTATCTTGCAAACTGTTTGCCGGTTACTTTGTTATAATTGTGAAACATACATTGCAGTTGCTAGTCATTCATTTGAATACTCCTAAATATCAAATATTATTCCTTGTAAATATATGTGATTAAATTAACTTTTTGTTTTCCATGGATTTATTGTTTCTACACACACATTTTATCATACAATTTATTACGAGCGTTGCTACTTTTGCAACATTCTATCTCCCTTAAAATGCTGGTCATCAGTTCTGTTATGTTTGAAATTAACCAAAATTATATAGTATTCCAAATGATTAATACATACATAACTTTTCTAACAATGTATTTTCATTTCAGTAAACAATAACTGCTATTTTAAATTAGGAAACAAGCCAAAACTTTTTGATTAAAGCAAATCAATTATAATATACTAAACATTTCTGTATCATGTAAATAAGAAGAGAAAGAACTTATTTTTTACACTATTTATATATTTAATAAAAAAAGCACAATTAAGCCCAAAATAATTTTCACAATGCAGTTCACAACCAGTTCCCTTATCACTTTAAAAAAAAAAAAAAAAAATTAAAATTAGAAGTTTGATAAACGTAAACTGATAAAAACATTGGACTTACAGCTTTAATTATCACATATTGAGGGGTTCGAGTTGTAAAGACAAATCCCAACTGTTTGGCACCTTTGACAAGAGCTCCTTCATCTATTATAAAAGAGAAGATAATATGAATCAATAATGCAAAATCTTACATTATTCCACACTGCCAATTTCATAAAGAAAAGAATTCACAAGACTTTTCAAAATTCTCAGGGGGGGGAGAAGGAAAATGAATTTTAAAAAACATATATCTGAATCATAAACTAGCATAAACTGCTGGTCATCTAAAATGCAACACAATACAGGAAGTATCCAAACAACTTGCATCATGTGCATAATGTGACAGAACATAAATATACAAATGATTATAAGGTACTTACACATTAACGCCACCGCAGCTGTATATTTGGCGGTTTTTAAGTGCTGCTAATCTACACCTAAAATTTTTGCAACAAATCATAAATTAACACACTTTACTTAAAATTAACACACTTTACTTAAAATCAAAGTAGTCAATCGGATTTCGGTGGAAAATGGGCCGATATAGAGTTTAACATACATTCAAAACAGTCTCCATTTTCTTTGACCTGATATTGTCCCCCTATGTCTTTTGTTCCTCTATTTAGCACTGCCCCACATTCTCTCAACTGTTTGTGTATGAACTCCAGTATCAGGATCAATAAAATTGTATTTATGATTAACTTTAGCATATAGGATTCCTTCTTTTCCTATTCTATTTGTTTGGTAACTTTCCAACTGTCAGAATAAATTGTGCTACCATCTGCAATGTTTTCAATAATTTTATTAAGAAGGGTAGAGCCAGTTCTATTAGGAACAGTGACAACAAACGAATCTTTTGTTTTTCTACATATACCACCAAAAACCCACTGTTCGGGTAATACTCAACCACAATTATTTTTATGCTTAGTAAACAAACTTTCATCAATTTCCACAATGCAATCTGGTCCACTTACCTTCTTGTTTGGTTTATTCTCCATACCCAAGACACATAATTCACGCATGTAATTGTTCCAATAACAGTTTTATCCGATAAATAAAGTGGCTTTTCACAAAATTTAATCGACGTCAAGGTCTCGCAGTAGTATATGAATCTCAAAGTTGAACAAAATGGAATTATGTTTCCTTCAAAGCAGTTACCTTTTCTAAATCCCACTTGTTGATCACACCGTCTTAAAATGCATTTTCAAAACGTATGTTTACCAAAATAAAGTTTCATATCATGCAAATTGGTACATTTTCGTTTTTTTGGTAAAATATTTCGCTAAAAAAAAATAAATTGCTGTTGTGTTTGGGGAAATCCCAGACGGATTTTCGTAGCACTAAAAAATGGCATCAAAAATTAGCAAAACAACAAGGCAAAAAGGAATCCAAAAGATAACTGCGTGCAAACAACAGGATTGCTTTTTATTAGCGCATCAGCGCAACTTCTGCTGTAGTGGCGTTGATACGTAAGTATCGATTATGGTTTGAGTACATGTGCAAATCATAGGTGACTGCAGCGCGCCTTACAATTTATATATAAAGGGAGCAAAGATGGGCATTTTGAATAGCAATTGTATAAAATGCCATTATGAATAACAATTATACGTTTGAACAATTGTATGATTTGTTCTATTATGATTTTTTATTTATTTATTTATTTTTGTTTTTGTATGCAACTTTAGTAAGCCTCCTAGGAAAACACCAGCATTACTCGAGCACGTTTTTGAGTTCACTGAGGCAGATTCATTGCATACAGAGATTGTGAATTATCCTTCCAGGAAATTGATTATTGTATTGGATGTAGACAAGAAACAGTCATGTAAATATCGTATCTGTAGATGCAGGAGGGAATGACTAATGGGCAATAGAAATTTCAATTGCATTGTCACCCCACAGCACAGGAAGACCATATTATGTTCTTGGCACTGATGGAACACACTGCCACATTCGCAACCCATCACAATGAATGCAGTTTGTAACAAAAAATTGGTGCCTGCATGAACAGTTCGACGTCATTTACAATACAATTGACTTTCTGCTAGGCATCCATTGCTTCGCTTACCTTTAAACCACAGGCATTTGCGTTTTTAGTGGTATAATGAAAGGCAGGGACAGACATTCGAATGGCATGACATTGTGTTTTTGGATAAATTATGTTTCTGCTGCAATACCACAATAGTCGAATTAAGAGTTTAGAGACACCGTAGAGAAAGCTTGACTGTTGTATTATGCATAATCATATTGGTCCTGCACAAAGTGTAATGGCATTGAATGGTATTGGATTCCATTCTCACACTCCTTCCCCTGCCCAATATGCATTAACAGTACATCAATATATCTCTGATATATAACAGTATATCTCTGATATTCTAATCTATATATTAATACAATATCTCTGAAGTTTTGCAGCCTGTTCTCCTTCCTTTTCAAGGCTTGCCTGTGACTACATTTCAACAGGTAAATGCATGAACACATGTTGCATGGAATGTTCAAGCATTATTTTTAGCCCACCATATTGCATTATTATCCTGGCCTGCCTGTTCTCCAGATCCACCACCCATCACACATATCTGGCCAATGATCAAAGAACGCATCTCACCTGCAATGCAGCACCTGCAGGTATACCAGATGAAGTTTGGCTCGTGTTGAGGCAGCATGGGCTGCCATTCCCCAACAACGCATCCAAAGCTGCTTTACTGAACGCCATAGCATGTAGCAGCAGTTATTCAAAAACGTAGAGGCAACACTCATTACTGAGTTTCTTATCTTCCTCATCTCAAATAAGGCTGTATTTCAAACCAATTAACACTGATACTATAGGTAATCTCTGAAATAAATTTGACTTTGATATCTCTTGTCCTTCTTTGTATTGCATTTTGGATGGACAGCAATACATATTTGAATGTTTTGAAAGCAATGAAAGAGAATGTTGTCATAAAATGCAGAAAATTAGACAAATTAAATTTATTTTGAAATGTAACATTTTTTGATTTGGCTAAAAGAAATTTTTACAATGTGCTTCACAACGTTCATATTTTTTTCTTAAATTTCACAATCCAGTATTTAAAAACTGCCAAACATAAATGGTAAGAGAGTTTAAAGCATGAAAAATGGGTGTCAAATCTTTCTCAAAGTTACATTCAAAGTGAATATACTTAACAACTGTCAAACTTTTAAATGCATGAATTCATGAATCTTTTAATCACAAATGGTTAAAACGTTATAAAATATTTTTAGTTTAATTCAGTTTAATTTTTATATTTTACCTGGAGATGCAGCCTGGTAATTCAGTTCTTCCGAATTTGGGTCCAGTTCCGGAACTACAGTATGGCATACAGCCATCAGAGTTAAAAATTCCTTTATATAACATGCAGTATTCTAAAATTACAAAAGGAAGAAGAAAATTACTTAATATAAAGTTGTAGAACATGACAAAATTTTACTTGCATAATACATAATATTTTAATATAAAACAAACTTTATACTACAATATATTTTTCCAATTAATATTGTAAACTTGGAAACAAACATTTAAAATATTTATTAACATGTTAAATTAAGGAATTCAATTTTAATTAAGCCTTCTTACAGCGTAGCATACAAGTCACACAGGATGACCAGTTTAGGAAATTATGCAGCATTTAACAGTTTACTTATTTATTTAATGTTCCATGGTCTGCACAATTGTCACTTTAACAAAGATAATTGAATGAATTTATCTTCCATACCACATTTTTCAAACTGGTATGATGCAAAAATACCTAGCTAAATAATTTCAACCAATTAACAGTTATTAATTCACGAAATTGTACACTAATAAACATACAAGTATCATTAATATTTCAACAAGTATCATAAATACTTACATGTTTATTTTTATAATTTTCCAATAATTCTGTACATCAAATTCTTGGTCTGCAATCTTAAAAAAAAATTAAAAAAAAAAAAGAGAGAGAGAGAGAAAATTATTGAAAACAATTTAAACAAACCTTTATATTATAATATTTATTTCCTTAAAATATTTACAAATAAATATTATATCTGTAAAGAAGAAAATCTAAAAACTAATAAATCAGTTAGTAGGCAGGGCACAGAGTCTGCAATCAAAATTTCCCCACTACCAAACAGCAGGCCTACAGCCAACTTTCAGTTGGCCACTACTAAGGCCAGAAGTGGTAGATACTTTGTGTGAAAATCTGGTACAATTCACTATGAATGATTTTTGTAACTGAGTCAAGAATATAAGAAGTTTTGACGTCAATTTTTTGTTTCACAGACACTCAAAGCTGAAGCATATTATAGGATCAAACTACATGGACCTGCATTTAATTGTCTGGTGGCATTTCAGTGCGATCCATAACAAATATTCACCACACTTTTTCTTAGAAAATGACAATACTGGATTAGAATGTATTTCACATAAAATAACTCTTATGGAGGCACCTAATAAGCTGGCCACCTTTTGCTTCCTATGAAGGGATGGACAGTCAACAAACTGAGTGAAAAAATTCATATTCCAAAAAGTGAAAGTATCTGTTTTAAGTGCAATGAAAAGGTCAGTTTCTTCAAATAGGAAACCAAACATCTCCCAAAGATTATGTGTTTAAAATACAAATTTGGCTACAAATTACCAAACTGTCAAAATTTTGGCATGTCTATAAAATTTTGAAAAATTCGTTAAAAAAAAAAGTACATAAGATTGCAAAACTAAAAACAATTTAGTAAAAATCATGAAAAATTCATAAAAAGCTGGCAGTTATGATAACAGGATAGAATAAAATATGAATTTTGTACGCTTTGTGAAAATCTGGTACAATTCACTATGAATGATTTTTGTAACTGAGTCAAGAATATAAGAAGTTTTGATGTCAATTTTTTGTTTCACAGACACTCAAAGCTGAAGCATATTATAGGATCAAACTACATGGACCTGCATTTAATTGTCTGGTGGCATTTCAGTGCGATCCATAACAACTATTCACCACACTTTTTCTTTGGAAATGACAATACTGGATTAGAATGTATTTCACATAAAATAACTCTCACAACATGATCAGAATTTAAAGATTTTAAGTTCGTACTACATACAACAAGATAAATCATTACTTCCTATGTTTCTGAAAATTTACTGAACTTGGTGAAAAAAATATTTTTAAGCTTCTCAGAATTTGGTATTTTATTTGGAAACTGTAAATTAACACTGTGGATATTACTTATAGAATCTGTGTTTGTAAAATGATATTATTTTTCTTTATATTGGAAGTTCTGGGGCAGTAATCTTTTTATGATGCGATTAGATTTGATTTTACATTAAGACATTTTCTATATGGCTATTTTATTTCTATATTAATATATAAATTTTGTGAGTTTCAAATGAAGTTTGAAAAAGAGCCTTATTTTAATTTCTTCTGGGATGCAAATTGAATTTTTGATGACAGATTGAAAAAAAGCTAATTTACAATTTAAACAAATTTTAGAAATTCAGATGGAAGAATTTTAGGTCCATTTAACATGAATGAAATTGATAATGAATTTCTTAATAATATTATGAAGATAAAAACTATATAAATAATTAATATATACAGTACAAAGTTCATAATCCAGACGTTCATCATCCGGAATGATCTATAATCCGAACCTGACAGCCACAAACTTGCGCATCTGCGTAATGCATGCACGTAAAGCATTTAAGCATATGCTTTTAATGTACATGTCCGCTACGCATGCGCATAAAGCGTTTACCCATGCGCACTTCTGATAGTGAAGAAAGTGACAGAGAGATTATTGAAAACGAAAAAATTTCGATTGACAAGTTAGTCGGTTTCTCGAAAAAGCAATTACAGGACTTGAACAGTGGAACTTTGTAACTGAACAAGAAATTATGTCTTTATAGAATTAAAGAGAAAGTATTAGCACAAAAAACGAAGCAACTTAAACCACTTACATTGAAAGAAATGTTTAATATAGTAAACAAATAAATATTAAGATTTTTTTTTTATTTTTTTATTTTTATTTTTTTTTATTTTAATACCCTTTAGATCATAATTGCTCTTTATTTCAAAAATTAGTTTCATACTTTTAATTGTATAATTTCAGCATGCCATCTTACCAGATTTAAATTGATAATCTATAATCCGGAAAAAACCCTAATCCGGAATCACCGAAGTGCCGACAAGTCCTGATTACAGACTTTGTACTGTATATATAAATGCTATAAGTAATTAATAAATGAAAAGAATTCTGCATATAAATAAGAGTAATTAAACATAAAATATGCTTTCATTTCACAATTATAAATGCTCAACATTTCTACACTGTTAAATATAAACAAGTAAATGTCTGATACAAACAGACTTTCAATATAACTGCAATATATTTGTGCTAATTTTTACATAAAACTTCCTCATTTGTTCACAAAATTTCATACATTTATAAAATTGCAAAAAAATTATGACAATTCAAAACTTTCACTCATTCAAAAGTTTTAGGTAATTCTTAATTTCAACTTCTTTGGAAACAGAACCTTTTATTTGTGACTTTAAATTTGCATCAGTGATGTCAGAATGTTGTGAAATGTAATTGAATGGAATGTTTTGAGTGTTAACCTAGTGGTGATGAATATTATTTATTTTATTCTATGAATGTAAATCATACAACGCTCACAACATGTGTTCTGACTTTTAGAAATGTTTCAGAAATCATAGTTTCACACAATGTTTAACAACTTAAAATCTTGTATATAAGTACAATTGTGGAATATAATAGGCAATGATATTTAAGTTTTTAGACGTTGCATTTAATTTTTACATAAAAATTATTTAAATATGTAAAAGTAATCATTATTACTAATGTTGCACTTTGAATTTATTTTTAATTTTATTGTAAATATTACAATTTTCTGTTCATATTATAAAAAGTGTAACATTTAAATAATATACCGTATTTGACAGCATATAAGACGCACTTTTTTTCCCAAATTTGGTCTCAAAAAAGTTACCTGCGTCTTATACGTGAAAGACAAAGGTTAACTTTCAATACTGAATGCTATTTTTAGCCTGATAAAGGTCTAGACAAACATAATTTTTTCTACATCTGCTATAATTATTTTGCGCATGCATAAAATATCTGTCGCCAAAAAGCGCCAAAGTTCGAAGCTGATGTCGAAGTTCGAACCGGTTCGACGGTCACATTACGTCTATGGAGCCTTTCCTTCTTTACATAGACTTTCTTTGACTCAGGCGACACACGTGTCGTATTGGTGCTACTTTGTATAAACTTGTTGGTATCGGTACTTAAAACTATTTGCTTTAAAAAAATACCCTGGAAAATATGACTACAAGAAACAAGAGATTAAGGTGGTAAAAAGATCTTGGGAGAACGTAAAGGCTGAAGTAATTGTTAAGTCTTTTAAGAAGTGCGGAATCAGTAATGCTTTTGACGGAACAGAATTGCTTGCCGTTCATTCATTTATTCATTATTGAAATTTACATATCATGTTCAAAATAGCTTGCTGCTTGTTAATTTTTCCTTAATAAAAATATGTTTGGTAATTGCATTCAATGATTGTTTTTATTTGGCTTTTATGAAACGTGAGAACTAAAAGAAACCTCATTTTAAGTTATTGTGGTACCATGTTTTCACGCGGACTATTTAAACTTTTTTTCCTTGTGTGTGACCTTCTAAATAAGGGTGCGTCTTATATGCCGTCAAATATGGTATATGCAAGAATTCAAAAATTTCAATTTAAAAAAAGCAGGTTTTGTAAAGAATTATTTCTATATGTTAGGCATAATGGTAAAAAATCACTCAGGTCCTCAATGCTTCAAGGTCACAAGCTCATGCAGGAGTTTCATTTTCCCGACATCGAGAATAAGGAGGTTTAAAAGAAATAATTTTTTCTTTTTTAATTACAATTTTATTTCTTGAAACACACAATAGATATAAATGAATACAAAAATTAGTCCTAAGAAGATGTAATGTTATGAAAATATTAATTTAAAATTAAGTGCAGGTAAAAACTGATATCAACTAACCCATATTTGATGCCTGCTATAGAACACTGCTTAAAAATCATAATGTTTTCAGTGAGAGTGCCAGTCTTGTCAGAAAATATGTATTTCACTTGGCCTAATTCCTCATTTAGATTGGACGTCCGTGCCATTGCAGGGGTATCGCTTTCTTCATGGTACATATGAATATCCTAAAAAATACATGAAGAAAGGAAATGTAGTAGAAAATTATTCCAGCAATTAAAAAATGTATTTTGTCACATCCATCAAACCATTTCTGCATAGCATCCTTTACATTATCAACATTGTTATAACATGAATAACACTAATGTCGCTTTAAGTTTCAAAAAAAAAAAAAAAAAAAAGAGAGAGAGGGAGAGAAAAGAAAAAGAATATGCGATTATTCTAGCAAGTACTCTGAATGGGGGATGGGAAAGCTGAAATTTGTATTGTCAAATTACTATTAAAGAAATTTTAAACTTATTCTGGAAACATTGCCATTATTGGTTGCAGGTTAAGATGTTATTGGTTTTATTGGCCAAGAGGTTAGCATAATCTATTGCATATGTAGCAACATATTCTGATAACATCTGTTACTGAAGAATATTGTTGCATATAATCAATAAGCAGCAATCTCTCTTCACCTCAGATAATGGTGATAATATCTTTCAGACAAATTTCTGGGTTCTGAATTTAAGAAGCTAGGACAATCCACAACATTTCTACATCATGCTCTATTGTTTATCATGCTCCTCTAAATCTGGGTCACAATGGAGAAACAGTGCTTCATCTAGTTTCATTAATTATACATAAAATATTTTATATGCATTAAACATAGGCAACAGTTCTCAAGCCTACCTTCATTACAATAAATATTATGAGCACCCATCTGGCACAGACCTTTGATATCCTTA